TTTTTCAGACCGTCTAGGATCGTCTGTTGCTGCTCGGCTGTCCGTTCCCCTGAGGATATCTTGGCGTAGATATGCTCAAACGGATTTTCCATTTCTCGCAGAAAGCTTCGAAACGCGTTGAGATGAACAGGGATCCGTTATCGGTGACTATCTCGTAGGGGACCCCGTGTCTGCAGATGATATTTTTCCAGACGAAGTGTTCGACTTGAGCATCCTTTATGCTCGCGTAAGAATCGGCCTCGACCCACTTAGAAAAATAATCCGTGAGGACGAGCAGAAAGCGCTTTTGTTTTGATCGATGTAGAGGTCCGACAATATCCATTGACCATCTCAAGAAAGGACAAGGTGACGAGATCGATGACAGCAGCTCGGTAGGTTAGTGAATAGTTGACGCGTGCCGTTGACACTTCTCGCACTTCGCCGTAAACTTCTCGCAGTCCTTGACCGTCGTAGGCCAGAAGTAACGGTGCCGTTTTATCTTGATCGCGAGCGACCTTCCGCTAGAATGGTTTCCGCACGTGCCGCTGTGTACTTTGATATATTCATAAATTGCATCATTTAGTGTACATGTTTTAGTCCAAATCATGTCTTATCTCATGCATTTTAGGTCTTTAGGCATTGTTCTAGGACTTAGGAAATTTCATTAGGTCCAAGAGATTTTTGCATGTTTTGGAGTGTTAAACAGGTGCTTTTGGAGCCAATTTGGAGTGGAGGATGTGATTCAGACGAAGAAATGGAGTTGGAATGATCAAAAATGGTGAAAAGGAGCAATTTTGGGTTTCTCGGCAAAATGGTGTACTGAAGGTCGAAGGTTCTCGGCCAAAATCCTTCCCGCGGGTAGCTTTCTCGGCCAAAAACACGTACCGCGGTCAAGTCTCTCGGCCAAAATCTCCGGGTGCAGACACGTTTCCGAAATCGCCCGTCCAGGAAACCTTCCGGTCAGATTCAGCTGTCGGAGTCTTCATAAAAGTTGGAGATAATTGAGTCAAGAGTTCATAACAATTAGAATCAAGGCATTTGGACCACGGAGCTGAAAGATATGGTAATCGGAAGACGAACAGGTCTCGCCCTCATTCCGGAGCAATCCGATATTCATGAATGATCGCCTGTCCGGGGAACCTTCCGGTCCGATTCAGTTGTCAGGGGCTTCATCAAAGTTGGAGAAGATTGGATCACGGTTCCAAAGCAAGTAAAATCATGGAATTCGGAGGCGTGAGCAGAACGTTAACCTCGTCGGAAGAAACTCCTGTCTCGCTGCCGTTTTGGACCGAACCGATGAGCTCCGAAGAATGCGAAGGACGGTGCACTTCCAGGCCGATTCAGTTTCCGGGGCCTTCATGAGAATCAGATACATGTGAGTCGTCTTTCCAGAACATCCAAGATAATTCAATTCGGAGCTATGAGTAGGAAGATACGGTCTCCGGAACGGACACATGTCTAGACGCCTCTCTCTGATCGTGTAAATGCACTGCAAAGATGAGCCCTCCAGGAAGCTTTCAACTTCCCAAGCACCGAAGTTTCCTTCACAAAAGTTGGAGATATGTGAGTCCTCTGTCCTCTGCAACTGAAATCACTCAATTCGGACAAGTATATTAGAAGTTACACTCTCCGGAATGCGAAGTGGTCCAAGCTGCTCTGAATGCTGCGAGAAAGCCTTGCGACTTGGTTAACTCGCAGGCCTGAAGATGAATGCCTGGAAATTGATGCTGCGAGTGGAGAAGTGCGGGTAAGCTATCAATGGAAGAGGTCTGAGGCTCCCGAGCAAGAAAATTGCTAAGTCCACAATACTGCGACTTGGGCATGCTACCTGGGAGACACTGGAACCAAGCCGCATGATCACTCGCAATTTACTCCGACTTGAGCCTGCGACCTGGGACTAGGGATGACCAAGTCGCACATGTACATTCCCCAGAAACCTCCTTGGTCCTGCGAGTTGAAGAAGAAGAAGATTAGGCCGCAGCAAGACTCACAAAACTCATCTTTGATTACTTGACTTAAGAACCTATCACATAAACTAGTGCCTAACTACCACACATATGGATTGACACCCCTTATACTACTTTGACAAGGGGATTGATAACCCATCTAAGGCCTTAAAAACCTTAGTTATCATACTTCGTGCATGATCTTTCTTGCCTTCGTTCCTTGGACGCACGTCATGAGCGGTCCTGAAAATCTCCATTTAAACACCTCGCCGTCGAAGAGGACATATCGTGCGGCCTGAGCTTTTAATTTGCGGGCTTCCCAATTGTTGGTTGGTACTTCTCCATCGGGGATATACACTCGGATGGCTCCGAGCCATTCTTTGTCGTAGCCGTACTCCAGCTCAGCGTGAGGCGTCTTCATCCATAGCGACTGCTTCGTCGTTTTCTGGTTCCTGCTCGGGAGGATTTATCAGCCGAAATCCTTCTACCTCTTCGATGCTGGGACGTTCGATGAATTCGACTGGAATTTTCCGTCGGAGATCCGGGTCTGAAGTCGAAGCAAGTGCTGCCAAGGCGTCAGCCGAGGTGTTCTCGCCTCATCGTATTCGTGTGAGTTTGAACTCGTCGAACTTTTGCACCAACTCTCTGACCACCTTGAGGTAAGCTCCCATTCGTCCGTCATTCGCCTCGTATTCGCCGTTGAATTGACACGCTACGAGCTGTGAATCGCAAAAGATTCTTATCTTTCGAACTCTGATTCCCTGTGCAAGTCGTATACCGACGATCAGCGCTTCGTATTCTGCTTCGTTGTTCGAGGCGTAGAAATTCAGGTGAAAAGATTGCTCCAATATTTCTCCGGTGGGAGAGGTGAGACGGATTCCTATTCCCGAGCCGTGTTTAGACGACGAGCCGTCAACGTGCAGCGTCCATACTTCGTCTGGGGTTGGCTCGTTTGTCGCTTTGGCTGGAAGTTCGATGAGAAAATCTGCGAGCACCTGTGACTTTGCAGACGACCTGTTCCGATACTCGATGTCGTACTCGCTCAACTCTATGGCTCACTTGGCGAGCCAACCGGATTGGCTCGGGCTGTGTAGGATCAAGTGCAGCGGAAGTGTAGCGAGCACAACAATCGAATGTGATTGAAAATACGGACGCAGCTTGCGAGCCGAGACTACGATGGCTAGGGCGACTTTCTTGATCTGGGGGTAGCGGGTCTCAGCGTCAGTCAGTGTCTGGCTGATGTAGAAAAT